AGGGTATGTAGCGATTTTCTATTGAAACGATATTTCAAGGAACGAAGATTGTTTACTAATTTTGATACTTGGCTAATTATACCATCAATGTGGCTGTTCCATTTACAATTGCTTTGAAAGATAAGACCGGGGTGTTTATGTTCAGTTACTTCCGTTATTCCTATTGAGTTCATTAAAAGTGGTGGTTTCACAACATTGCGTTTAGTGGAGAGGGTTAAAGTTTCTGTCTTGAGGGGGTTAAATGTCACCAGCCATGTTTCCGCCCACGAATTGATTGCTTGCCAGGCCCCCTATCCTACATCACTGACAAAGAGGACTCACGCAAGAAAATCCCGGTGAACATTCTAGGTCAACACCCGAATCGAACCTGAGACCTCGCTGAGTCACTGCGGCACCCTCAATACAATAATCATGTTAAACTCCCCACAGACTCCCAATTTCAGGGCAAATCAGAAGAATAAATCTCTCTGTATATATGTAAAACAGGTTTTGCAGTAATCTTGTATTATCACGTATTTTGTCAAACAAGTTCGTCAATAATTACACTGTATTGATACGGCAGTAGAAAAATGACATGAAACTGAAAACCAGATGTTATTAGCTTTTCAGATGCAACGTATAATGGGTTCCTTTAAACATTTTACAAAATCAATTTATGCTGAAAAAAGTAAAACTGTTATTAAAGTAATGATGCGTCATGGGCATTTTTCGCTAAAACATCAGACTTCTCACCAACGTAATCTACCGTAATGTGTACACAGATTGATTAATTAACATTTCATCTATAAAACAAAATTCACCTACTACAAGAACAACAAGATTAATAGCAGTTGGAGGCCATTACAAGAACAACAAGACACAGCAAGAAAAACAAGAATAGTAGAGACTGGGAACTACTACAAGAACAAACAGATGAATAGCGGTTGGGAACCACAGCTAAAAAAACAAGATGTTAACTTTGTTGTACAAGCTGCCCTGCTTAATTTGAATTTTATAGTTCTATACCATGTACTTGAATCTAGGGGGTGAGGACATACAACCAAGGACTTGACACTGGGGGCATCGCCAAACCTCTGCAAGCCACTGCTCCGACAATAACATCACTCCAGTCTCATTAATAACAATAATGTAAACTCGTAAATGAGTATTAGACATATACTTAAAGTAATCTAATAATTTATGGGATAATATCAGTAGGAAAGGTCCATTCAAGTTAATTGCTGTCTGGAAGCCGGGGCCATTATCATCATAAACATTTACATATTTCACAACTTTGTCTTGTCTAGTTGGTTATATGAAAATCGGTTGATAATACGTTAAAGAAGCAAAATATGTAAAAGCTTTAACACAATATTTTCCATATTGCTACAATTTTAACCGATTTTCCGAGATGTGAACACGACAGAGATAATGATCATATTAATCAAAGCTAGTCAAGTTTTCCTTTTCCGATAGTTGTTGGATGAGCATATTTCCACGCTTTGTGTGGCTATCTTTTTTGTTAATTTCTCCGTAGACAAACGACTGTTCTTTCTTATTCTTGTGTATTTAAAATGGTTTGAATATTGACATTTATTTATTATAGGAACACTTCTTCTAGGACAAGGGGGTTGGATGGCCGAATGGTTAGCACGCGCGCGCTGTATCATACGGTCTGTCATTGAGTCAACTGGTGGGGTTTCGATAATCCCAGGTTGTACGTGGCAAGGAGTAGGGTTGCCTGTCCAACCCCGTGGGTTTTCTCCGGGTACTCCGGTTTCCTCCCACTGCTAAAGACCCCTACGCGCAAGCGAATTATTGAAATAAAATTGAACCATGTGTTAGTCCCGAAATGATCTAGTTTGTGTCGACTGGACGTTAAACCTCTCTCTCTCTCTCTCTCTTTAAATAATCAAGATATTATCTGCAATACATGGCGTCACTCATGGAGACGTTCGTTTATTGTCGTGCTTATGGTAACTTGACAATCGAGAATATGAACCATTGATGGAGTTTCTGTCTGCATCCGATAGGCTATTTATTTCTATTTCTTGTCAAAACTTCAGAGATTCATAACTTCACCCAATATACATTTTTATTTGCATGTAATAGCCCAATGATTGTATATGAAAAAATTTGTATTTAAAAAAAATATCGAATATGCTGTAGTGTCTTCCGTTGCCAACGGGCTAGACAGTCAATCGATTGGTAGAACATCAAAATAAATTGAATGAAATGGAAAATGGCGTTTTAAACCGTAATCTTTCACATTAAATTACAATCAAACCCCGTTATTTCTCGACTACAACAAAACAAAATTAAAGAGAATATAAATCGCGAGAAGAACGAAAACAAACGTTTGTAGATTTTGATAAAGTGAAATGAAATGAAATGGGGTTTAACGTCCTGTTGTTCTGCTCCGACTGGGTTAATGAAGACGGGCAAACGCTATACAGTGTGCTATGAGGGAAATTGTGCCCGGACAGCGGCACTACGGCTTACTCTTACTGTCAAGGGATCTTTTACGTGCACGCCAATGTATACACGGGACCTCAGTTTTTCGTCCCATCTGAACGACTAGACAACAGTCCTTGTAAGGCCCTCCGTCCTGCAACACTGACAAGGGGGAACCACGCCGGAATATCCAGATGAACATTCTCCGTCAATGCAGGGTTCGAACACCCAACCTCCAGGCTAGCGAGCCAGCGTCTTAACCTCTAAGCCACCGTGATCCCTGATTTTAATAAACGTCTTCAAAATAACAGTTCAAGTGAAATTTGTGATATCTTTTATTCTGATGGATTGGTATGGTCGAGTGGTTAGTGCGTGCGCGTTGCATCATAAGGTTTGTCATTAAGTCAACTGACGTGGTTTCGATTCCCCGGTTGTACGTGGCAAGGAGTAGGGTTTTCTCCGGGTCCTCTGGTTTCCTCCTACTGCTAAAGACCCTTATGCGCAAGCCAATAATTGAAATTAAAAAGAACCATATGTTAGTCCCGAAATGATCTAACAAAACAAAATTAAAGAGAATGTAAATCGCGAGAAGTACGAAAACAAAAGTTTGTGGATTTTAATAAACGGCTTCTAAATAACAATTTAAGTGAAATTCATGATATCTTTTATTCTGGGGGGTTGGTATGATCGAGTGGTTAGCGCGTGCGCATTGCATCATAAGGTCTGTCATTGAGTAAACTGGCGTGGTTTCGATTCCCCGTTGTACGAGGCAGGGAGTAGGGTCGCCTGTCCCAACCTTGAGGGTTTTCTCCGGGTCCTCCGGTTTCCTCCCAATGCTAAAGATGCCTACACGCAAACCAATTATTGAATCATAGAACCATATGTTAGTCCCGAAATGATCTAATTTGTGTCGAGTGGACGTTAAACCCCATTTCTCTCGCTCATCTTTTATTCTAAATCGATGTAATTTATATCATTACCCTTTTGTCATCTACACTCATAGACCTGTCCATAGTATTGAATAAAATCAAAACCCAAACGACTTGATACATAAAATAAGTTATTGTCTGGTATCAACACACTTGTTCTCTAATTGGACAATGGATTCTACTACGCACATTTAATAAGTTGTTGCCATGCAACAGATGCACGGAGACTCGCTAGGGTGTGTCCTCTCATTCTCCCAGTGTTTCATATCAATTTTGAAACAAGTCTGTTCAAAACCGTGGCCACTATCGCGTTTACAAGGTCTTCTAAAAACATTTGAAGTTTCATCTTAATCGGACAAAAGTTAAAGGCTTTAGACTGTCCACAAACTTTGTAAATATTTTACATTTTGCGCAATGGACAGGGATTATAACCCTAGAAAATAATTGCAAAAAGATAGAACAGGTCAAAGGGAAGAGATTGAACAGTGAAGTCAATAGGGCAATCCATGATGACCTGTGGTCAACTGGTCAGCTATTTAAAGGGGCATTATGGGAGACCAGATAAGGAGTTGACCGTTCTCGCTGTAAGAGTTAAAAAATAGATAATTTATGCTGACAATTTCATTCAAATTATTCCTCTCCGAACCGAGATATTAGCTTCTGAATTTTAGGCTAGCCCCGATCATCATTACTAAAGTCTGTACGATAAAAAAAAAAGTCTCGATTATCTATTTTTACGTTTAATTATCTTTTAGTCGTACAGAAGTTTCAGTTTATAAACATTCTGCTCGTGTCCTACCCACACTGATTGTAGGAAATGACAATGAAATGAAATGAGATGGGGTTTAACGTCCTACTGTTCTGCTCCGACTGGGCTAATGAAGACAGCCATACGCCATACAGTGTGCTATGAGGGACGTTTGGCCCGGACAGCGGCACTATGGCCTACTCTTATATCAAATCCCAACTGCCAAGAGATCTTGTAGAGGGTCTGGAGGTACGTCTTAAGATACTGTAGTACCGTGATCAATATGTTTCACCTTAGTTTGAATGCACCTGTTCGATGCAGGTGTTGACCGAGAAAGTTCATCGGGATTTTCTTCCGAGGTTTCCCGTTATCAGTGACAGGCCTAAGTATGGACAACGTATAGTTACTCAGATGGGACGAAAAATCGAGGTTGCGTGTGCACATTGGCGTGCACGTAAAAGATCCATTGGCAGTTGGAATTCGATATTTAAGTAGGCCGTAGTGCCGCTGTCTGGGCCAAATCCCACGCATAGCCCACTTAGCCTGCTTAGTTTTTCTCCCAATTCTCCGATTTCCATCCAAATACACGCAGGTCAATTAATGAAATGACCAAATTTGTGTTAAGGACATTAAGTTTGTTCCCCCTACGTGGAGTGTCCTAAACGAATCAGAATTATTGTTGGTAAATTTGATAATCTGTGTTAATCTGCGGGACACAATAAAGAAAAGGAAGTCATCGACGCATGTGTTCCAACGCCAGTCGACTTAGTGACAGACTTTATGATACAGCGCGCGCACGCTAACCATTCAGCCATCCAACCCCCCGGGGCATCAGTGGAATAGCCAAGGGTCTTCTTTTATCTAAATCCGACAGTGATTGAAGATATTAAAACTGTTATATCTTTATTTTATTAAACAAATCTTTAATTGACAGAACAACATGTTATTACATTATGATGATCAGCATGAGATAAACAATATAATAACTAACCGTGAACATGAAATGAAATGAGGTTTAACGTCCTACTTTTCTGATAATGAAGACGGACAATTGTCATGCTGTTGCTATGAGGGAAATTTTGCAGGACAGTGGTGCTACATCATTACTCTTTATTTCGCACAGCAATGTGTACACAGAGACTCGGGTTATCGTCCCATCCGAACGACTATACGCCGTTCCTTGCATGGCGCTCCGCCCTGCTCCACTGACAACGGGTAACCAGGCTGGAAAATTCCGGAAAATCTTTTCGGCCAACACAAAGATAGCGAACAAGCGCCCTATTCACTGAGTCGCCGCGACTTGCATCTAACCATGCACATGCTTACTTACTGTTTGCCATGCACGTACTGTGGCTTTCGTCATAAATGTAGCCAAAAGGGCTGACACGTGCGCTTAATATTATACAATGAATCCAATGCCGTGGTTTCTATTCAGAGGATGTACGTGACATAGCGTAGGGTTGCCTGCCTACCTTCGTGGGTTTACTCCTCGTCCTTCAGGTTTCTCCCACATGTGTTGTGTTGATTGAACGTTAAACCCTATTTCTCGCTATCTCTCCCTGTCTTGCGTTACATACGTCAAACAGAAGCCAGAACATTAGATAATAAACTATACATAATATGATCAATCTTTAAACGAAAATTTAAACAATTTTAAACAATTAAATCAATTCTGCTAATTAAACAAAGTTTATATCGGTACCTATAACAACAGGATGGCAGTTAAAGATGCATTATGTAAGATTTAGATAAAGAGCTGGCAGTTTTTTGGGGGTTTGGAACTGAAATGAACTGAATTGAAATGGGGTTTAACGTCCTACTGTTCTGCTCCTATACTGGGCTAATGAAGACGGCCATACGCCATACAGTGTGCTATGAGGGAAATTTTGCCCGGGCAGCGGCACTATCGCCTACTCTTATATCGAATTCCAACTGCCAAGGGATCTTTTACGTGCATTCCAATGTTTACACGGGACCTCGGTTTTTCGTCTCATCCGAAGGACTAGACAGCTGTCCTTGTCAGGCCCTCTTACCTGCATCACTGACAAGGGGAAACCACTTGGGGTTTGGAGTGCAGCGCTTCGACCTCTAGCTGGCAGTTCACCCTTGACATGTGGTAGCGGTTTCGATCCCTGGTGTGAGCGTTTGTGGCTTGGAGATAGTGGTACTCCGACTTTCTCCCACAAGAAAGACCACTGCGCGTGCGCCAAGATAATAAATATATGACATCTTGTACCATGACCTAGAATTTTGATAATGGGCTTGTCATGTAAATAAATGTCTAATCAATGATTTATATAACATTTGGGGCCAAACGAAAGATACGCAATAGCCGTATTGAGCTCTTACATAATGCATCCTTAATTCAATTCTGCTAATTAAACAAGGTATGTTCAGGTATAATTAAGAATAACAACCTGCGTGGCAGTGTAACTCGACACCTAGTTTGGCTCGGTAAGTTATTTGGTTTTGTTTAGTTCCAAACTTAACCTTGACATTTTTGCAAGTAAAATGACAGTCATACAATGTGATACTGCATGCAGCTAATAATAATACGTAAGCTAACAAATATTTAAGAAGGCAAACGAAATCATTAGATTTATACATCACATATAACAAATATTTGTTTATTGGAAAGCTCATTAGCTTCTTAAAAACAATGAAATCAAAATGAAATCAACACATGCATAACATATACAAATATTTGTTTATTGGAAAGCTCATTAGCTTCTTAAAAACAATGAAATCAAAACGAAATCAACACATGCATAACATATACAAATATTTGTTTTTTGGAAAGCTCTGTAGCTTCTTAAAAACAATGAAATCAAAACGAAATCAACAGATTTCTATATATATATATGCATACCATATAACAAATACTTGTTTATTGGACAGCTTTGTAGCAATGGTTTCTTAAAAAAAACAATGAAAATGTGAATACTGCCAATTTTCATTCAATTGAAAGGCGATTTCTTACTTACATGAATTGGCAAAAACCAGGTGCTTTCAAGGTGGTCTAAAACGTTATGATCAGAAGGCCCAACCCGTATCAAACATTTTTTTTTGCCAATGCCAATTGCTCTATACAGCCGCTATGGGGTTTCATGTTCCCTTACAATTACAACATCCATTGAATCAAGCTATCAAAATATTGTATATTTAGGGAAGCTTCAATGGAAACGTTTTTGACAATCTAGCTAATGTGTTTTAATCAGATTGGCTTTTAATTAAAATAAATTATACCATTAGTAGGTGCTGATCAATCATCTGGCAAATGGTGATAGCTGTATCTTAATGTTCCACTTTGAGGAATTGAATACAAGGTCACTGTTTCAGCTTGTCAAACTTTCATGATGTAAGCCATTGATCATTTTCATTTAAACGCCTGTTAATTTACAGAAACTTATAAGATTGGCGCCACTATAGTTAAACGATATTACACTGGGGGAAACATTCAGGCGTCTTATGGCCGTCTTTGGTCTAATAACTGATGCCTTAAATAGCAAAATTACGAATTAAACATCAAATATTGAACGAAACACAGATATCAATAAATACATACACTAGCGTGACGTGTTTCGTAGAACAAGCCATAGGAAAATAAAAGCCTGATCATGTATGATCATCAATATTACAATTCAGATACGATTTTAAGGCATAATTTCTCGAGTGCGATAATTAAAAATTAAAATAACAAAACCGATGTTATAAAACATTGGGATTTAATGTTATTTCGTCGAAAAAGAAGCTAAGTTTGTTATAGGAGCGTGTCCAGGAATTTCAGCAGAGGGTAGCGGATGGGGTCCCAAGGTGGATCCAACTTTAAGTTTGGGGTAAGGTCGTGGGGGTGGGGGGGGGCTTAATATAATCAGAAGCTTTGAGGCAATATTTCTGCTCATTTGGGTACATACATGTATAAGATAATAAGACTACATGGGGGGGGGGGGGGGGTCACCCACTCCCGCTCTGGACACGCGCCTGTGTTGAAATTGACATCCAATCAGTTATTTGAAATTAAACCCAAAACCGACGATTAAACGGATATGTTAAAGTCGCTAATCGTAATTGTTTTCAAGGTTTAATAAAAAAAAGGTGACCATTATGCCATTTAAACCTAAACTTATACTCGTGTATTTAATACAACTTTATTTAACATCCGCTTTCAACGAAGCGATATCGCCGACAATTACGTATTATAGGTTGATATACTTAGTGTTTAACGTTCGCTTCTATCTTAGGTGATATCGCAGACATGTTTTCTTATTTTTAATATCTTAGTGCACGCGCATAGCGTCTTTCTGAGTGAGGAAACCGGAGTACCCGGAGTAAACCCACGAGGATAAGAAGGCGCCCCTATGTCACACCAGGTACCGAAAGCACAACCGCATCCCAGAGGTGACGGGCTAGCTAGAGCTCAAAGCGTGACACTCTAGGTCAGTGATTCTCAACCAGTGTGCTTCCTAAGTGTGCCGCGAAATTTTGAATGGCACACTAAGGAAATGCCAAAAAATACATGGGATCCCAATTGAGTATTCACTGGTGTTCATAGATGTTTTTTTCTTTATTTAGTTTTGAGTCTTTCTATGTGTCTATGACTAGCCTCTGTCTACAGTTGTATGTCTCTGACATGGCCTACCATGGTTTTTTTTGTGCAAAATTCAAATATTTTTCATATATATTAAGCCAGGTGTGCCGCTATTTTTTTCATGTGTTCCAAGGTGTGCCGTTGGCAAAAATAGATTGAGAATCACTGCTCTAGGTCATCCCAACTGGCTTGTTTATAACATTTGAAGAGAATGATGACGAATGTCGTCAATTAATCACATCATTGTAAATACAGAATGAAACTAATATTCCTTTTCAGAGATTCATCTTTCACAATATTGTAGTTTGGAACGGATTCAAAATCTTTCAAATGACGATCGCCGTATTCATTTCTGACATAAGTACTCCAGTTTTACTGCCACTTAAGATTTTATGCTAGATTCCCACGCAATCTGATAAAAATACAGATTTATATTTCGTTTCTTTTTTTATACTTTCGATTAGTCTCTACTACATGAAGATCTGACCAGTTGTAATGGGAGGTCGCGTCAGGGGCTATACGAGCGGCTTTTGACCTATGACGTCAGACATTGATTAATCAATCCGCGTTGACGTTTCTAGTGGTTTATCCAGAGTTCCGTGCACAACACGCCAGGAACTCACATCAAGCAGAACGCCTGTTTTAAACAGATTGGGTTCCCATGGTAACTGTTATTCCATAAATAGTTCTTGGGGGAGAGAGAGAGAGACAGAGAGAGAGAAATGGGGTGTAATGTCCACTCGACACAAACTAGGTCATTTCGGGACGAACATATGGTTTAATTTTATTTCAATAATTCGCTTGCGCAAAGGGTCTTTAGTAGAGGGGGGAAACCGGAGGACCCGGAGAAACACCACGAGGCTGGACAGGCGACCCTACTCCTTGTCACGTACAACCGGGGATTCGAAACCACGCCAGTCGACTCAATGACAGACTTTATGATACAGCGCGCGCACGCTAACCATTCAGACATCCAACCCCCCAATAGTTCTTGGTATGTTATCATCAATATAAACTGACAATTAACAACCTCGTGCCATCTGATAACACCGATATATTTAGGAAGCCAGTTAGGTATACGTAACATTTTAAAATATATATAGTTGTACCCAAGTACAGTAACTTGTCTGCGATATCACCTCGGTGGAAGCGGAGTTAAATAAAGCTATTTCACACAGTACAGTAATATCAATATAAGAATATATTCAATGGTTGTTTTAATGTCATTAAGTAATTGTTATGTTAATAAACCAGTAATTGTTATTCCATAAATGAAATGAAATGGGGTTTAACGTCCTACTGTTCAGCTCCTATTGGGCTAATGAAGACGGGCACACGCCATACACCCACCCAAGAGGAAAAAGAAATGAAATGAAATGGGTTTAACGTCCTACTGTTCAGCTCCTATTAGGCTAATGAAGACGGGCACACGCCATACACCCACCCAGGAGGAAAGAGAAATGAAATGGGTTTAACGTCCTACTGTTCAGCCCCTATTAGGCTAATGAAGACGAGCACACGCCATACACCCACCCAGGAGGAAAGAGAAATGAAATGGGTTTAACGTCCTATTGGCTAATGAAGACGGGCACACGCCATACACCCACCCAGGAGGAAAGAGAAATGAAATGGGTTTAACGTCCTATTGGGTAATGAAGACGGGTTATTCCATAAATAGTTGTTAGTGTGTTACTGTTCAATTACTAAATGCCACTTAAAAAAGTACACATCCCACAATTGGATTATTTCCTTTATCACACATCTGACGTACAATACGTCATTTCCGTTCCATCCGTCAGCACACATTTCGCAGCGGTAATCCTCGAGTTGTTTCCATCAGCGTGTGATGCTCCGCTGAAAAATAGAAATGAAATCTCGTTAATAAATGAAATATTACCTACGGTTATAATAAAAAAATTCGACAACTAAATTTCAACATCTTTTATTTTTAAGTCACTATTTTCTCTTAAGGACATTTATCTCAGAACACTGTTTATAATCCGGGGACTGTTTCACGAAATTCTAACTAAGTTTAAATCCAAATTTTAGCAATTTGATTGGATAATATTAGATTTATTTTAGTGCTTAGCCAATCAAAATTGAAGTATCTATTAAAATATGGATTTTATCTTTAGTCAAGATTTCGAGAAACAGGGCCCTGGTCACGTTCACTTGTACCTGTTTTTAATAGGAGGATCATAAAGGCCATACAATCTGCTATGAGGGAATTGTACCTCCCCCACCCCACCCCCGTACAGCAATTAAATTTCAACATTCAAGCCAACGTGTACAACGGGTGTCGGGTTTTCGTCCTATCCATACGACTTCTAGGCTTCCAAAAATAGGGGGGGGGGGGGTCGAACGGTTAACCCGTGCGCGCTGTATCATAAGGCCTGTAATTGAGTCAACTGGCGTGGTTTCGAATCCCCGGTTGTACGTGACAAGTAGTAGGGTCGCCTGTCGAAACTCGTGAGTTTTCTCCGGATACTCCGGTTTCCCCCCACTGCTAAAGACCCCTACGCGCAAACGAATTATTAAAATAAAATTAAACCATATGTTAGTCCCGAAATGACCTAGTCTGTGTCGAGTGGACGTTAAACTCCATTTCTCTCTCGCTCCATTCCAAATATAAAACTTGGTCAAATATTACTAAATACAAAAGTACGTGACCAGATTTCGGGTGATGTTCTTCGATGTGATATAATTTGCCGCGGAATATTAATTGGATTCCACTACCTCGATCATTTAATCTCCCTAGAAGAATAAATACAGCAAAAAAAAATAAATAAATGAAATGGGGTTTAACGTCCTACTGTTCTGCGGCGACTGGGCTAAGGAAGACGAACATACGCCATATAGTGTGCTATGAGGGCAGCGGCACTATAGTCTACTCTTATATCGAATTCCAACTGCCAGGGGATCTTTTACGTGCACGCCAATGTATAGACGGGACCGCGGTTTTGTCAGATCCTCCGTCCTGCATCACTGACAAGGGGGAACCACGTCGAAAAACCCGATGAACTTTCTCGGCCAATGCAGCGTACTAACCACATGGCCACCGCGGCTCGCCAACAAACAATAAATATGTTGGTATAAGTACACGTCGGGTAATTGGGGGCGTACCATAAACATTTTGACCTGGAGGAGCGAAATGGATGATCTTTTACAAGAGAGATAGAGATATGGGTTTAACGTCCACTCGACACAAACCAGGTAATTTCGGGAACTAACATATGTTTTTTTCAATAATTCGCTTGCGCGTCTTTAGCATCGGAAGGAAACTGGAGGACCCGGAGAAAACCTACAAGGTTGGGCAACTGGCGTAGTTTTGATTCCCCGGTTGTACGTGACAAGGAGTAGGGTCGCCTGTCTAACCTCGTGGGTTTTCTCCCCCCGGGTCGTCCGGTTTCCTCCCACTGCTAAAGACCCCTACGCGCAAGCGAATTATTGAAATAAAAAAATTAAACCATATGTTAGTCCCGAAATGACCTAGTTTGTGTCGAGTGGACGTTAAACCCCATTTCTCTCTCTCTCTCTCTCTCTATTTACTATAACAGAATTTCTATTTTACTAAAACAATTACACGTTATGCTAAGTTTCCGCTGTCGTGCGATCTGGTACGTCCAGATACGTTCGGATACGTTTCGTTACGATTAACACGATTGCTACGACTGAACTCAATATATGATACGATCTGATAGGATCCCTAAGATTAACCCACGATTAAAGGACAATATTGGTGTCAGTCATTATTACATATGAGATAGAACTGGTTAAATACATTCCAAATATAATTTTATCTACTGACAGCCAATTCTTTTTTTGAATTGTCAGATATCCCCTCTTCGTCTCATATAACAACTTTTCAACTTCAACTGAATTATCAGTGAAATGAAATTCGATCGTTTGTCTGTTATCGCTCTTTACTTCAGTCAGTTATATAGAAGGACAACTCGTGTTTGTCATGTTTGACGTCACTTCAGGTTTCTTCACGTGCTTGTTACACACCTCCCGTAGCAATGATCTCTGTGTTAAAATTATATTTGGGATGTGTTTAACGAGCTCTATCACATATCTATATATATATATTTGTGACTGTCGTTTGTCTGTCTGTCCGTCTGTCTGTTCGTCTGTCTGTTCGGGGTTGGCGGCTACACTAGGTCTGCCCCGAGTCTGAAATTTGGGGTATAGGGGTAGCTCGGACCGGGGAGTAACATAGACCAGGTGGCGTCTACCACTTCCGGTTTCGGAGTTATGACCCCCGAGCGAAGCCGGGTATCCTGCTAGTTTTATAATAACTGAGACCAATATTGTCCTTTAAAACCAAGATTTCAATCGAAGCACAAAGTATGATAGTGGGAACCTAGCACTAAGGGAACTTATTGTTTATTATTCACAAAAAGGGTTGTTTTGGGCCACGATCGGAGCTTATTTTGTTTATCAATGCTTGTATAAGCTTTTAAATAAGACCATATGGCACTATTAACACTAATTAGGAATACACGGCCTAATGTGGCGACTCAGTGTTTGTGTAAGTGCAGACATTATCCTTTAACCGGTCCTGACAGTTCAAGGTTGTAAACTTTGCATTACTCATGCGTTGACCATAGTTGTATGTCTACGCACGTCTTCCGTTTTGAACTTTAAACAGCTTGACAGCTTCGATTGAAAAGAGGTGATTTGTCTCCGTGTCAAGAAGGATTATCAACTGCTTAAAAATCAGTGGGTGTTGCGAGAATGGAATGAATAACAATCAGTAATCGGTGGTCAAGTTATTGTCAGATAGAACTATGTAGCTTCAAACTGCTTCTCTATACATAGAGGGTGAGACAGAGAGAGAGAGAGAGCGAGAGAGAGAGAGAGAGGGGGAGAGCTTTTCAAAGTATTATCATCACTTGTCAGTGGTGGTGGGGCCGGCACGGAGATTGTCCCTAGTAGAGAGAGAGAGAGAGAGAGAGAGAGAGAGATGAAATCAAATGGGCTAATGAAGACGGGCATACGCCATACTGTGTGCTATGAGGGAAATTTTGCCCGGACAGCGGCACTACGGCCTACTCTCATATCGAATTCCAACTATCAAGGGATCTTTTACGTGCACGCAATGTTTACACGGGACCTCGACTTTTTGTCCCATCCGAATGACTAGACAACTGTCCTTGTCAGGCCTAACATCACTGACAAAGGGGAACCACGCCGGAAAATTTGGATGAACTTTCTCGGCTAATGCAGGGATCGAACACCCGATCTCCCGGCTAGCGAGCCAGCGTCTTACCCACTTCGCCACCGTGATCCCCTTAATTTAAATAAAACAGTTTATTTCATCTGGTATGACATATTTAAAATGTCTTCCTGTCTCACATTTCTGAGTACTATGGTCTACACTCGAGTCGGTGGGGAGGGGGCGGTGGCTCAGCGAGTAGGACGTTAGATCGCTAACCTGAAGGTCTCGTGTTTGATCCCTGTGTTGACCGAGAAAGTTAATCGGGATTTTCCGGCGTGGTTTCACCTTGTTAGTGATGTAGGACGGAGAGTCTAACAAGGGACAGCGTACAGTCGTTCGGATGGGACGAAAAACCGAGGTCCTGTGTTCTAATTGGCGTGCACGTAAAAGATCTCCTGGCAGTTGGAATCCAAAATTTCCCTCATAGCACACTGTATGGCGTATGCCTGTCTTCATTAGCCCAATCGGAGCAGAACTGTAGGACGTTAAACCCCCGTTTCATTTCATTTCGAGTCTTAGGATAATACAGTCAAGGAGTTGGTCGCGGTCATTACCAAACCTTTTCACATATCAAATTAACCATTTCTGAGAACTTAGCCCTTATACTTTAGTCTTTTGGGGTATACAATTGAAGGGTTTATCCTGGACATCACCAAACATGTCACATCTTACATTATAAATAACCTTTACCAAGTTCGTTGTATATCTCTCTATCTCTCTCTCTCTCGTTTTATATCAAGTAGAATCAAGCGCTTCTGTTTCTATCTGATGGTCATTCAAGTGAGTTAATCTATAATTGGTAAACTAGGCGACGAATGAATCAGGCTGTCGTGGACAATATGGCGTCCACCCACCTTTAGATCGCTAGCATACTATAATTAACGGGTAATGTTCCACAGCTTAGCCAGATATTATTGGATTTGCCGCTGAATCTTGATAAACATGTAGATGTAGACGGCACCATTAACCTCAGACGGCTATTATTCCTCGGTGATAATTGGTCTTGTAGCCACTCGAATACAAAGGACCGCTCATTGAGAAAATTACTCAAATTATATCCGCTGGCTAATCGCTCTGCTGCCAGATTACTGATGCAAATACTCATTACACTGACCGCACTTATATTAGAGTTTCATCACACTCAAGGCATCGTGTCAACACAACACGAATGCACTTGGTGAGATTTTCTTATCTTGTAAGTTCTTTATTTCATTGACTAGATTAAGTTAAATGATTGGTTTTATTAATGGCAATGATTATACATGTACATAGTTAGCTACTTCAGGCTGTTTGACCCAAAAAAGACGATGATTTACCTAACTATTCTACTGTTTCTGAGATGACACGAAAAAACTGGAACCGAATTGCTTTACTTGGAAATGAAATGAAATAGAGTTTAGGGTTCCTACTTTTCTGCACCTACCGGGATAATGAAGATGAGTATACGCCATATGGGGCCACTGTGGCTCAGTGAGTAAGTCGTTGGTTCGCTGACCTGGAGGTTCTGTATTCGATCCCTGTGTTCATCGGGATTTTCCGGCGAGGTTCCCCTCTGTGTGCAGGACAGAGGGACTGGCAAAGACCAATGTATAGTTGTTCATGTGAGACGAAACAAATCGAGGTCGTGTGCACGTGAAACAACCCTTGGCAGTTGGAATTTGATACATAGTAGTCCGCAGTGCCGCTGTACGGGCAAAATTTCCCTCATAGTACACTGTATGACGTATGCCCGTCTTAATTAGCCCATGCAGTGGGAGCAGAACAGCAGAACGTTAAACCCCATTTCATTTCATTTCCTGCTCTATGCCAATAAGGGGGATTGGATGGCCGAATGGTTAGCGCCTGTGCGCTGCATCATAAGGTCTGTTATTGAGTCAACTCGCGTGATTTCGATTGCCCGGTTGTACGCGACAAGGAGTAGGGTCGCTTGTCCAACCTCGTGGGTTATCTCCGGTCCTCCGGTTTCCTCCCACTGCTAAAGACCCCTACGCACAAGCGAATTATTGAAATAAAATTGAACCATATGTTAGTCCCGAAATGACCTATTTTGTGTCGAGTGGACGTTACTCTCTCTCTCTCTCTCTCTCTCTCTCTCTCTCTCTCTCTCTCTCTCTCCTCTTTCTCCCAATAAACTCTGCCGAATAGCGCACTATTATAAATGACATTATTATTACTATTCTTTATCATTTATACAGACGACTATAATTGGCAGCATGGAAGCCATTCTTTCTATTCATTAATTAACCAGTTCTGACCGTATACGCCTACCTTCAATGATCGTGATTAGTTACGATACTGTGCGTCACTTTCATATCAATTTAATTGGGTGTTGGATGGCCGAATTGTTAGCACGTGCGCGTTGTATCATAAGGTCTGTCATTGAGTCAACTGGCGGGGTTTCGATTTCCCGATCGTACGTGACAAGGAGCAGGGTCGCCTGTCCAACCTCGTGGGTTTTCTCCGGTTTCTTCCCACTGCTACAGACCCCTACCCGCAAGCGAATTATCGAAATAAAATTGAACAATATGTTAGTCTCGAAATGACCTAGTTTGTGTCGAGTGGACGTTAAACCCCTATTTCTCTCTCTCCATCTCTTCCCCCGTCTCCCCCTCTCTCTCCATCTCTCTCCCTCTCTCTTTAATCCGCGCTAAATTGTAACCAAATTAATTATATAACCGTACTATCAACGGTAAAAATTATTCTATTTTGTGAATACTGAACGGAATTGAATCATTTTGGGCTGATGATATTTCTTTCGGAGATGATCTAACTGTAATATTTTAATTATGTAGATGCATGTGCCTAACCAACAAGACAAACAAAACCAGCAAACGCATATGAACAAAGAACACCACATGCACAACAAACTAAAGTAGGGTGGCCCATGCACCTACAGAAATACAGTCAACCGCTGATAGTTCGAGACTACCACTGAAAATGCACATTCACCGTGTCGAGGCCAACTTTCTGACAGTATGATACTATAAATAGCCATGGCACGTGCAATTCTCTACAAATCTATCAACTATTACAGCCGTAAAAAATTTATTGTTGACGATTTTGAATAGCAGTAAAATTAAGCTTCTTGGTTATTACAGCAGATTTAGAAATTACGTTCGTTTCATTTTTTAAATCGCTTTATCATTAACTGTACCGTTAAGAGCGGCATCTTTTGGTTTAGTACAAATACTATCTCTGAAACACTCGGGTTAGACAGGAACATGATACTAGCAGTAGTTTCATTTTACTTTTACAAGCTTCTTAAAACAATTGTTGAGCTAGCTAACGTGCTCATTTCTTAATTCAATTTCTTGTTCTAGCTTTCTGTTATGTTTCATAAAAAAGTAGTCTTGATTATCCCGACCTGTCAATCAGCCTTAGAATGGTCGATAGACTGGTTAAGCGACTCTAATTTCAAAACAAGGGCACGTAACCTATCTTTTACTCAAAAGTGTCTGGATGTTATGGACGACACATGGAACCAGTTTTCAGTCTATTATTTATAGATGATTAATGGTCATAGCTTATTAAGTACAACATGATCGTTTATTTAGTGACTATAATTGTGTGAAACTGATTTGAGGATTGGCATATATATAAATATTGTGGCGAAATTGTCGAGATATATGGAGATATTTATTTATGGTGGGTCACCCTAACTAAAGCTGAAATTCAAAATGCGCAAAACAAAAAAGCCCCGAAATCCAAAATGTGCAATACTAAAAAGCTAAACTCGAAAATGCGCATTATAAAAAAAAAAAAAAGCTGAAATCGAAAATGCACAAAAAAAAAAAAAAAAAAGTGCAAGGCTGTAGTTGTAATCACAACACAATTGTTAGGGGATATCAATCACCGGCACGACATTTCGACAAGTATCCCCGTATCGTTATGAATCACTGGCACGACCATTTCGACAAGTATACTATGGTTATAATAGTTAGCGGTTCGCAACGTGGGTAGGGGTGTATTAAGTATAGATACTATGGTTATATGGTTAGTGAATTAACGCCTACGTGGGCGGGAGTGCAGTAAATATAGATGAATATAATATGGTTATATGGTTAGTGAATTAACGCCTACGTGGGCGGGAGTGTATTAATTATAGATACGGTTCTAGATGAATATACTATGGTTAGGGGATATCAATCACCGGCACGACATTTCGACAAGTATCCCCGTATCGTTATCAATCACTGGCACGACCATTTCGACAAGTATACTATGGTTATAATAGTTAGCGGTTCGCAACGTGGGTAGGGGTGTATTAAGTATAGATACTATGGTTATATGGTTAGTGAATTAACGCCTACGTGGGCGGGAGTGTAATAAATATAGATGAATATAATATGGTTATATGGTTAGTGAATTAACGCCTACGTGGGCGGGAGTGTATTAATTATAGATACGGTTCTAGATGAATATACTATGGTTAGGGGATATCAATCACCGGCACGACATTTCGACAAGTATCCCCGTATCGTTATCAATCACTGGCACGACCATTTCGACAAGTATACTATGGTTATAATAGTTAGCGGTTCGCAACGTGGGTAGGGGTGTATTAAGTATAGATACTATGGTTATATGGTTAGTGAATTAACGCCTACGTGGGCGGGAGTGCAGTAAATATAGATGAATATAATATTGTTATATGGTTAGTGAATTAACGCCTACGTGGGCGGGAGTGTATAAATTATAGATACGGTTCTAGATGAATATACTATGGTTAGGGGATATCAATCACCGGCACGACATTTCGACAAGTATCCCCGTATCGTTATCAATCACTGGCACGACCATTTCGACAAGTATACTATGGTTATAATAGTTAGCGGTTCGCAACGTGGGTAGGGGTGTATTAAGTATAGATACTATGGTTATATGGTTAGTGAATTAACGCCTACGTGGGCGGGAGTGCAGTAAATATAGATGAATATAATATTGTTATATGGTTAGTGAATTAACGCCTACGTGGGCGGGAGTGTATAAATTATAGATACGGTTCTAGATGAATATACTATGGTTATATGGTTAATGAATTAACGTCTACGTGGGCGGGGGTGTACTAATTATAGATACAGTTCTAGACGAATATACTATGGTTATATGGTTAGTGAATTAACGCCTACGTGGGCGGGAGTGTATTAATTATAGATACGGTGAATATACTATGGTTATATGGCTAGCGAATTAACGCCTACGTGGGCGGGGTGTATTAATTATAGATACGGTTCTCGTAGAATATACTATGTTTATATGGTAAGTGAATTAACGCCTACGTGGGCGGGGGTGTATTAATTATAGATACAGTTCTAGATGAATATACTATGTTTATATGGTTAGTGAATTAACGCCTACGTAGGCGGAGTGAATTAATTATGGATACGATTCTTGATGAATATACTATGGTAATATGGTTAGTGAATTAACGCCTACGTGGGCGGGGGTGTATTAATTATACAGTTCTCGAAGAACATACTATGGTTATATAGTTAATGAACTAAGTGGGCGGTGTGCATTAATTATAGATAAGGTTCTCGTAGAATATACTATGTTTATATGGTTAGTGAATTAACGCCTACGTGGGCGGGGGTGTATTAATTATAGATACAGTTCTAGATGAATATACTATGTTTATATGGTTAGTGAATTAACGCCTACGTGGGCGGGAGTGTATTAATTATAGATACGGTTCTAGATGAATATAGTATGGTTATATGGTTAGTGAATGCCTACGTCGGCGGGAGTTCATTAATTATGGATTACGGTGAATATAATATGGTTATATGGTTAGTGAATTAACGCCTACGTGGGCGGGGTTGTATTAATTATAGATACGGTTCTAGAAAAATATACTATGATTATATCGTTAGCGAATTAACGCCTACGTGGGCGGGGTGTATGGATATGGTTCTACAAAGAATATAGTATAGTTAGTGAATTAACGCCTACGTGGGCGGAAGTGTATTAATTATAGATGCGGTTTTCGAAGAATATACTATGGTTATATGGTTAGTGAATTAACGCATACGTGGGTGGGAGTGCAGTAAATATAGATGCGGTTCTAGAAAACAAATACTATGGTTATATGGTTAGTGGTATAAGCAGTACTCACTCTACGCCTACAGTTTAGTTCCTCTATAGTGGAACAAATCAAACGGGTCTGGAAGGAATAAAAACCGTGTATTAAATGCTTACAATTAAAGATAAATCTGTATTTACCTTTTGTTGGGGAAGGGTTCCAATTCATCTGCAAAAAAAACAAAAATTTGAAATAAAGAACCAAAACAACATTCCAACCCAAACATAATTAAACTGTCTAAAAGATCAACATAAAAAAAACATCGTGATAAAAATGGTGCAAGCTTAATAATATCTAAACTAAAATTAAAATATACTTGTGTTTGACCAGGCGTGGCACAGGTTATAGCTATGAATCAAAAGTAGCATAATTCCGAAACCGGAAGTGGTAGTCCTTTGCCATTAGGCCTATGATACTTTCAGGTCCGAGCTACAGCTATACACCAAATTTCAGCCTCGGGACAGCCCTAGTGTAGCCGCCAATCTTGAACAGACAGACAAACAGAAAAATGACAGTCACAAATAATCGTATAGATTTATAACCAAGGTTTCATCCCCTTCATCAAGAATGAAATCACATCAATATCATCTTCAAAATAATCTAAATAACATGTGGTTTAACATTCTGCTTTTCTCCACCAAATGGGCTAATGAAAACGGACATGCGCCATACAGTGAGCTATATGAGTGACGGAAGCCACGGTGGCTAAGTGGGTAGGCTAAGACGCTTGAGGTCGCTGGTTCGCTTCCGGTGTTGGCCGAGAAAGTTCATTGGCATTTGGAATTCGATATAAGAATAGGTCTTAGCACCGATATCCGGGCAAAATTTCCCTCATAGCACACTGTACGGCGTATGCCCATAGTCCAGTCGGAGCAGAACTGAAGGACGTTAAACCCCATTTTATATCATTTTATTTCATTCCATTGCTATGGGAGACATTTTGTCTGAACAGCAACTTTTCCGCTTATTTTTACTTCACGTGCTCGCCGACGTGTAAATGGTATATAGGTTGTTTTCTTTTTGTTTCAGTCGTACACTACTGACAACGTATACATAGTACATAGTTGTTTTGCATCAGTCGCACAGTACTAACAACGTGTACATAGTACATAGTTGTTTTGCATCAGTCGCACAGTACTAACAACGTGTACATAGTACATAGTTGTTTTGTCTCAGTCGTACACTACTGACAACGTGTACATGGTACATACGGTAGTTGTTTTTGTTTCAGTCGTACACTACTGACAACGTGTACATAGTACATAGTTGTTTTGTCTCAGTCGTACACTACTGACAACGTGTATATGGTACATAGTGTTGTTTTTGTCTCAGTCATGCACTACTGACAACGGGAACACACTGGAAACATGATAATCTAAAGCTGAACCAATAGAAACTATCGTTTGTTAAGCTTCATTGTCTCGTTGGTGTTATAGATATAGATAAGCAACAAAACATCACCCAAATCCTGCTTTGTCTGTGTTGGGTTCACATGATTCTACAAAATGTAACAAGGACAAGAACTCTGGCAGTAATTAACAGAAGTTGTTGCCTGGATCAATTCACTTAATTGGGTGGTACTTTTGGTGTTTAGTGCTTGCACTGTCCGTGCGCTGGGTGTCGATTGTCTTATTGGATTCCATCTTCAGTATCCCGCTCGGTGCGGAAGAGTAGGACGATAAACTCCGTTTCTTTTCTTATTGGTTTCTTTTCGTTTATGTGTGAAGCGGTTCTCATGCACTTACTATTAGAAATGAAATACAATGGGGTTTAACGTCCAACTCTTCTGCGTGTACTATAAGGGAAATTTTCGCCCAGACAGCTGCACTTTGGCCTACTCTCTTACCGAATTGCAACTGCCAAGACATCTTTTGTATACGGAACCTCGGTTTTTCGTTCCATCCGAACGACTGACTATACGCTGTCCTTTGCCAGTCCCTTCTTCCTGTACCAATGACAAGCGGGGTCACGCCCTTACTGTTACATATCTGATTTATTGATCCACAGACGGACGGTAAGATGCGAGCACATTTAATGTCGGCGTATCAAAATAATTACCTTCTTTTGCGCGAACTTGGGTTAACCCACGACCTGAATAATAGATTTTCTAGATTTTATGTAAGCTATTTATTAGTTGAAGAGCGTTCGAGTGATCGCTTAAGTCCTTATAATGACATTAATGTCGAGGTTAAGACTAATAAGAGAACTATTTTCGGATAATAAGTCGGAGGTATTCAGCGCGGGACTATAATCTTGTCCATCTTAGACGAACAGTAAGCCGTTAATCAATTTGCGTCAGATCTGCTACGGTGGATTCTTCGTTCAATACGTTATTGTAATGTTACATGAGTTCATTACATTGTAAATCTATACACGTGTCAACTATTCACTTGACGCCCATGCGTCCCGAAGGGCGGCCATGTTTATTTTTGCTGCGGGATTAGTATTCGTAATATTGTCATTCGTTATAATCAATGTCGACTTCAGGTAGATAAATATTAAGAAGATAAACATTAGCCCCGTAAGCGAATACGTCACTTGGTGTCAATTACGATTTGCATTCGATTTTCTATAATCAGCATGACTTCCCTAAGATCGTCACCTACATTTTTATTATAAACAAAATTATTTTAGAGAAAAGAAATGCTGAGCATGCTATTGCTAGACCTATATTACGACTTCCGGTTATTCGAAGAACAGGACTGAAGAACAGTCGAGGCTTATTTATAAACAATGTTTGGTTGGGCTATACTACATACCGGAAAACACCGAAAAACACCGGAAAAAACTAACCCTAACCCTAACACCCCGCAAACAGAGGACAAGGCTCTGGGTTACCTATTTAGGATGTTTTCCAGTATTTAGTGTGTTTTCCGGTGTTTAGTATTTTTCCGGTGTTTTCCGGTATTCAGTATAACATGGTGTTTTCCGGTATATAGTATTGCCGGTTTGATTCAGTGAAAAGAGACCGACTAGGCCTATGTTCCCACTGCTAAAAACCCCTACGCGCAAGCGAATTATAGAAATAAAATTGAACCATATGTTAGTCCCGAAATGACCTAGTTTGTGTCGAGTGGACGTTAAACCCCATTTCTCTCTCTCTCTTTCTTTCTTCCCCCCCCCTCTCTCTCTCTCGTTCTCACGACCCGCTACGTAGCACACCGCTGTGAATAATGAACAAAATAAACAATTTCATGTTTGAAAAATTCATAATCTGATTTAATTGTAATTGAACTTTCGATTGAACCTTCCGGAGATGTCTGACTTGTCTGGAAACCTATTGACTTGTTGAAACATCTTAATGGAAACAGTGTCATCGCCTATAGCGTTTAATAATGTGTGTGTGTTAAAACTAAGTCTGGGGGTAAACTAAGAATTGACCTTTTACGTGATACTGGATGTACGGGACAGCTTAAATGGTAATGATTGGCATCTTCAAAATCACGACCGCGAGCACATGTACAGCTGGCATGGATGTGTATGCTTTAATGTATGATCAAGACTATGTCAAAATTCCTCTTTTTCTTCTCTTAGTGTTTAACGTCCGCTTCCACCGAGGGTGATATCGCAGACAAATTGTCTTATTTTCATTTTTCCGTTTTTCCATTTGCGTTAGGATGATAAGCTGACGTAAGAATATGGCAGACAAATTGTCTTATTTTCATTTTTATTATCTTAGCGCATGCCCAGGGGTATTTCTTGTGGGAGGAAACCGGACTTCCCGGAGTAAACCCACGAGGTTGAGAAGGCGCCCTTATCTCCAAGTCACATACGCTGAAACCAAAACCACAAGTCAGAAGTGGACCGGCAAGCTTAAGCTCGAAGCGCTATACTTTGGACCAACAGACCACACACACCCCTCCCCGAATGATAGCTTTCGCAATTTATAGAACATTGTGCAAGCTATAATTGAAATGCCTGGGCTCACATTACAAATACTAAAATCTGTGTGAGGCATTTACTCGCTAAGCAGAGTGTCCTGGGTTTGACACAGGTGTGGGTCGAGAAAGTTTAGCTTTGTTTCACCTTATGTATGCAGAGCCTGGTAGTGGGCAGCTTCCAGTCGTTCGGGTGGAACAAACACGAGATCCCGTAATAGGGTCTTCCGGGTTCGATCCAGGAGTTAGCCGAGAAAGTTTAGCTTGGTTTCACCTTGTTATGTATGCAGAGCGGAGTTCCTGGCAGTGGACAGAGTCTAGTCGTTCGGATGGGACAAACACGAAGTCCCGTGAGAGGGTCTTCCGGGTTCGATTCAGGTGTTGGTCGAGAACGTTTAGCTTGATTCCATCTTGTTATGTATGCAGACCGGAGTTCCTGGCATGAGATGGGACAAACACTAGGACCCGAAATAGAACCCATAACAGTTGAAATTCGATAAAAAGTAAGCAGTAACGTCACATTCTTCCTTAGCCCAGAAAAGCGGACGGTAAAACCTCATTGTATTTCATTTCTGTATATTAATTAACCACCGAAGTATACGTGTACAAGACACGTAGTCGGGTGTTTAAAAACGAATCAGCTCACCCAGGATCACCGACAAAGACCTTAAACAATCAACACTATCACATAATAAAGTTTTTAGAATCAATTTATAAACGTTATTGATATTTGCGTGACAAACGGAAGAACGCAGACAATGGGTTTATACAAGTGTCAGATTGTCTTGTCTGTTGGTGAGCCGTTTGGGTATTAAGATACCCCCCCCCCCCCCTCCGACGACATCAAATTGTAATAAAACAAGTAACAAGTAAGAACGTAGTGTATCAATCACAAACAGAGCATGGTGTCATCGCAGACATCTAGGAATTGCAAAATCATGTCAACAATTCAAGCCTGTCAATCAAACTGTCGTGTCAATTTAATGTCGAATTGGGGGTTACTTGAAAGATCAGTGGTCGATGAAATGATTTCTTCTGGTACGTAATATTTTCCATCAGAAGCATTAAGTTTCTTCGATATTAGCTGTCCAAGTTTGCGAACACTATTAGCTGTCAAAGTTTGTGAACACTATTAGCTGTCAAAGTTTGCGAACAATAACATAATAACCCATTTCTAAAACTAATCATTGGTTACATATAATAGTTTTTTTAACAACAATATCCATTACTTATCCATTCAAGGTTTCTGTTAATTTACCCTTAGAATCCATGTTCTAAAAGCGAGAATCAGTACAATAGAGATGTCACTACCAATTAATTTATGTTCCTACGCGCGCTCCATACAACGTTGATTTATTATCCTCGGTTCAAGACGACATCGTCTGGACACCATTAGGTTTATTAAATAACAATGGTTATGATGATATATTAATCTCTATGGACATGCGTGATACACCGTCTAGGTGTGTCATATGTTATGAAAAGTATTACCGCAGGGAAAAGTCGTTATTTACAAACATATCTCAGATTCCCGCTTGTCAGCGATATCACTTCGGTGGGTGCGGACGTTAAACATACCTTATGCAAGAGCTAAATCTGCCAATTGCATGTCTTTCTTTAGGCCTGAAATGTTATCTAAATTATTAATTAGACATTAATTAGCTTATCCAGGCCCTAATCAACTCTCGATGGCATCGCTAGCCTGCGATATTTACTGGGTTACAACCAGGTCTGTTGCTTCTGATTAAATAAAAGAAAATGGATAATCGAGACTATGTTTTTTTTATCGTAACGACTTTAGTAATGATGATCGAGGCTAGGCCAAAAAATTTCAGCAAATTCCCTTTAGTTTTTAAACTATTATAGTGAGAACTGCCAGCTCTTTATCTAATCTCCCATAATGTATCTTTAAATCAAGTTATTTCAAATACAGATCTCATGTTAGGGATTGCTGCTATATAATAGGTGCCACATAACGTATTATGAATATGCATGACCTAAAAGTTGGTAATTTGATTTCAAACTATGATTCTGTTTTCACAATTTTATAGACGCACCTGTCACCAACAGATATCGTAAATGTCATCCCAGAATATCAGGGGATATATGAGACCAGACATCGCTCCAGGTGTGCAGACCCATTAGTATTCTTAGTCAGAGACGATGTATCTCATTAACTATTATTACAGCAAGAACGACCAGCTCTCTATCTAAACCTACATAGTGTATCTATAAACTATTATAGCAAGAACGACCAGCTCTTTATCTAAATCTTACATAATGTATCTTTAAACTATTATAGCATGAAACGACCAGCTCTTTATCTAAATCTTACATAATGTATCTTTAAACTATTATAGCTGAACGATCAGCTCTTTATCTAAATCTTACATAATGTAACTATTATAGCAAGAACGACCAGCTCTTTATCTAAATCTTACATAATGTATCTTTAAACTATTATAGCATGAAACGACCAGCTCTTTATCTAAATCTTACATAATGTATCTTTAAACTATTATAGCTGAACGATCAGCTCTTTATCTAAATCTTACGTATCATTAAACTATTATAGCAAGAACGACCAGCTCTTTATCTAAATCTTACATAATGTATCTTTAAACTATTATAGCAAGAACGACCAGCTCTTTATCTAAATCTTACATAATGTATCTTTAAACTATAATAGCAATAACAACCAGCTCTTTATCTAAATTTTACATATTGTATCTTTAAACTATTATAGCAAGAACGACCAGCTCTTTATCTAAATCTTACATAATGTATCTTTAAACTATTATAGCAAGAACGACCAGCTCTTTATCTAAATCTTACATAATGTATCTTTAAACTATAATAGCAATAACAACCAGCTCTTTATCTAAATTTTACATATTGTATCTTTAAACTATTATAGCAAGAACGACCAGCTCTTTATCTAAATCTTACACAATGTATCTTTAAACTATTATAGCATGAAACGACCAGCTCTTTATCTAAATCTTACATAATGTATCTTTAAACTATTATAGCAATAACAACCAGCTCTTTATCTAAATTTTACATATTGTATCTTTAAACTATTATAGCAAGAACGACCAGCTCTTTATCTAAATCTTACATAATGTATCTTTAAACTATTATAGCAAGAACGACCAGCTCTTTATTCAAATCTTACATAATGTATCTTTAAACTATTATAGCAAGAACGACCAGCTCTTTATCTAAATCTTACATAATGTATCTTTAAACTATTATAGAAGGAACGACCAGCTCTTTATTTAAATCTTACATAATGTATCTATAAACTATTATAGCAAGAACGACCAGCTCTTTATTTAAATCTTACATAATGTATCTTTAAACTATTATAGCAAGAACGACCAGCTCATCTGAATCTTACATAATGTATCTTTAAACTATTATAGCAAGAACCATCAGCTCTTTATCTAAATCTTACATAATGTATCTTTAAACTATTATAGCAAGAACGACCAGCTCTTTATCTAAATCTTACATAATGTATCTTTAAACTATTATAGCAAGAACGATCAGCTCTTTATCTAAATCTTACATAATGTATATTAAATATCCTATTTTATAAAATACTCCAATTACCAGCTTCCAGTGTGTTTGCCTCCCGGCTTATCGGATATGCCAGAGCATGTTCATCTACTATGAATGGGCCTTAACTTCTGATCTTTTACGTGCACGGTTGACTGCGATATTTCGTCCCACCCGAACGACAAGACACTGTTCGTTTTAGCCTCTCGGTCCTGCACCACTGATGTAGTACTATCGGACTTCTGTCCTTGTTGTGTTTGTTTTCTTCGTGATCACAATATATAACACTACAGGTTAATGGTTCTTAAAACTTTATTGTTAAGCTGTAATGGCTTTGAAGGTTCCTCGTTCTCAATAATAATAGCTGCTTGGAATATCTGGGTGAGCTCTGACCAATCTCGCTCAACAACCTGTTTTATAACCCCCTAATTTCTGCACGTCTTAGATAGCCTTAACGTTAATTTCCAACCCAAATATGGAATAAGCCTCTTTATTTCACAAGACCAGAGGAGGACACATTACCTTATTTGGTCTACCAACCATAGGAAAATAAATAGACAGAGTTTGATGGATATTTTGACATTGGTTATGATTTTACCAAAATATCACTGTTTTTTTATGTATAAATATATATTCCCGTTCATTAAGTACGTGTGATTGACTCTATAGACAGAGTAACAACAATATTTCAAAGAACCAATACGACGCTGGAAAGTCCCGAGGAACCAGCCGACACCTAGATGTCGAACCCAGGACATCCTGGTTAGTAGGCCAGCGCCTTAGACGCTGAACCCTCGCAGCTCCAAAGAAGAAGAGAACGCACAGATTGGAATTCATCTATTAACTTTCTGACCCAACATTAACTTGTGTGTATTTTTATGTTCATATATCAGGACTTTAATAATTAATGTGCTATCCAACAATCAGATATTTTGAGTTATTACCCTGCTGTCAGGCGTATAGTTACAAAATAAATTACTATAACTCTGGTTTTATCATGGTAATCCAATTTTTCTAATTAAAAGGAACAAGTTAATTAGTGGCTCGAGAAAATAATGCCAATTATTGCTGCCAATAAACATGTAGAAATATAAATGTATACTTACGGCTACCGTAATGACCTCTTTCTGTACGCCGCCGTCGGAAGCAACAGAAAAACGCTGTCTGAAATTCTTTCCTGAACTTTCCTGAAATGACAGTCAAATAATTAGTTATTTGCCATACACGCTCTTAGTGTGTGGTTTAAATTTGAAATAAATAATGACCCTTCTTCACAAAAGCGGTAAAAAATCTACCTTTCCTAATACCTATGACCCATTTGTAAATAGAACTTAGCAATTCTGCCCCCCCCCCCCATACACACACTTTGTGAAATGGAAAGTTTTTGAATTTTGGGTCTAGAATCGAGGAATGTCCCTTTTTTGGGGTAGTATTGGTAAATATTAACGATTTTTTCGGGCAGAATGATCAGTAAGTAAACCAACACGAATTGGGGTTTAGGGTGATCGCCTACTAAAAATGACGTCACTGCCTATATATTTCATTGGACCAGTCAAAGAAAAACACTTTTATGGAATAACAATTACTATGGTTTATTTCACTGCGACATATCAACAACAGTTCACAAGTCGTTATCAAGCATATACACAAATAGATAAACAATCAGTAAAATACATGTACAAACACCAGTGCGTACTATCTAATGGTATTTAAGGAAAGTGAATCTGAGTAGCTATCACAAGCTATAGATGAAACAAAGGTGCATAATCGTATATACTATAGGATTAGCTTGTTATACAATTAAAAGATGAAACAGAGGATTATCGAGATGTATTGAAACCATACACATTATACCAATATTGAAACCAGTATATACTATGATTAACTCAATAAACATTGGACCAGACCTATAATGATGAACCCCTTTCGATATTTTCATCAGATAATTGTAATATATTGGACTCTCTTTGGTTATAAAGATTCAGACCAGCGGAATGTTCATAAAAATAATATATGCCTAAAACAGTCAGGGATTTAACAATGAAATTAATGTGGAGAAAGAGAGAGTTAGTGGTCTGACCCCATTAAGTAAGTAACCGGAAATGATTTATTTCCTACGCTTCAATTATATTTATACCCATCTGACCTCCACACGAGGTTTTAATGGAATACCAAATTTGTCAGTACATTAGGAATTACAGGAATTAATTCTTATCATCCTGGGGGAAGTCTTGTGTGTAATTTTCCTGTAGATATATTATCCCAAGGCAAGGCCATGTCTAGGAAGATTAACTACATATTATGTATTTGTTAATTTGCTAGAATTAAAACCCCATCGACTGATTGGAAATTGCTGGCCCTATATTTACGGATTTTACAATATTTGCATCTTTCCGCAATATTTACTTGTTAGATTGTTGGGGTTACATTAGGATTAAGACTCCATCGACCGGGTGAATATGTTTGGTCCAATATTTCCGGATTTACAATATTTATAACTTTGAAAATGAAATGAAATGAAATGAGGTTTAACGTCCTACTGTTCTGCTCCTAAACTGAGCTAATGAAGACGGACATACATCATACAGTGTGCTATGAGGGAAATTTTGCCCGGGCAGCTGGGCTAAGGCCTACTCTTATATCGAGATCCAACTACCAAGGGATCTTTTACGTACACGCCAATATGTACACGGGACCTCGGTTTGTCGTCCCATCTGAACGACAAGACAGCTGTCCTTGTCAGGCCCTCCGTCCTGCATCACTGACAAGGGGAAACCACGCCGGAAAATCTGGATGAACTTTCTCGGCCAATGCAGGGATCGAACACCCGACCTCCAGGCTAGCGAGCCAGCGCCTAACCCACTTAGCCACGTGATCCCCCTTACAACAATGCTCATAACATTTATTTGTTATGGATGCGTTAACTTTAAAACCGCATGGAATATATGAAAATGGTCCGTGGATTTGCAATATTTACAAGTCTGAAAACCCAATTTCCATAGCATTTTACTGTCCACTGAACATAAACTAGGCCATTTCGTGATTAACATATGGTTCAATTTTATTTCCATAATTCGAAATAAAAACAAATAACATTTATCTAAACCAGATTTCTTTCCTTTTCGTTAAAATTAATAATAAAATTAAATAATACCACTGATAAAATTATAACGTTAAAATTAATAATAAAATTAAATAATGCCACTAATAAAAATTATATATAACGTTAAAATTAACAATAAAATTAAATAATACCACTTATAAAATTATATATAACGTTAAAATTAATAATAAATCATAAAATTATATATATATAACGTTAAAATTAAGAATAAAACTTGATATAAACCAACGTTAAACGTTACCACTGATAAAATTATATATAACGTTAAAATTAACAATAAAATTAAATAATACCACTGATAAAATTAAATTATATATAACGTTAAAATTAACAATAAATTAAATAATACCACTTATAAAATTATATATAACGTTAAAATTAATAATAAATCATAAAATTATATATATATAACGTTAAAATTAAGAATAAAACTTGATATAAACCAACGTTAAACGTTACCACTGATAAAATTATATATAACGTTAAGATTAATAATAAATCATAAAATTATATATAACGTTAAAATTAATGATAAAAGTTGATACATACTTCTCATATAATTAAAGTTAAAATTAATGATAAAAGTTGATACATACCACTCATAAAATTATATATAACAGGATTAATGGAACTGTTGAGATATATAAGCAGATGAGCTGTGTAACCGATTCCTGAAACTTTCTTGTCGGGTATTCGGTTTATTAGGTCCAGATTCGTCATTCTGAAACGAAATGAAATGAGAAATATTGTCAAAGGTGCTATGGTTTAACGATGCTTGAGGAGAAAAATTGCCCGGGCAGTGGTGCTACGGTTTAACGGTGCTTGAGGGGAAATAGTGCCCGGACAGCGGCGCTACGGGCTAGGTTTTTTTTTAGAATTCCAATTGGCAAGAGTTATTCTACAAGGATGCTAATGTGTATACATTATAATTATACATTATAATTAACCATTCCCTCATTCTCATAATTCTTTGTAATAGAATACCAACGAAATTTGATCTGTTTTTATTGTGATTTTATGACAAATCTGTAATGGAACGCTTGTAAAGTAGATAATGAGAAGTAATAAAGCGTCTAGATGCACCTGGTCGGGCCATATATTATCAATAGACACTATATATAAAGCCCAAGGTCACACCTTCACGTTATTGTCCACCCTTTACCCAAGTTCTCCCTGACTATCAAACCAGAACCATTTGGTCGGAAAAAGCGGACCAATGCCTTATTACTCACTTAACCCCTGCTACCCAAATACCTCTTGACTCAATAACAGACAGCCCCCCCTCCCCAAGCCAAACACATACAAACACACGCACTTTTACCAAAAACAATATCTATGACAGGATATGGTGCGGTTATTATCATGTATGACTCAGGAACATAAGTTAATTAAGTCTAGACAATATCAATTTGAAAATAGGTATAATATTACTTATCTTCACTTGTCGATCATCAAACCGGGGATACGCATTTTTATATGTAATTTTGTGGTAAACGTTACTTCCAAGTGGATGAATTACGAGACCTAGTTACACGAGTTAGGAAACCGAGGACGGAAATCGTACCACAAATAGAATCTCCGATGTTAAAGTACTCGCTTCAAGCAAGTGAGAAAATAGGGTTTTACGTCCACTCAGAGAGAAAAGGAGAGATTAATGGTGCCGTCTACTTTATCATCAAGATTCAGCGGCAGATCCAGTCATATCTGGCTAAGCTGTGGAACATTACCCGTTAATTACAGTATGCTAGCGATCTAAAGGTGGGTGGACGCCAAGAATTGTTGTCCACGACAGCCTGATTTATTTGTCGCCTAGTTTACCAATCATAGATTAACTCACTTGAATGACCATCAGATAAAGACAGAAACGAATAATAATACATCTGCTTGATTCTACTTGATATAAAACGAGAGAGAGAGAGGGAGAGAGAGAGAGATGGAGATGGAGAGAGAGAGAGAGAGAGCGTCTACCTACCTCAAAATATTCCAGATATAAACTGGTAAATAACACAATATAAATACGATGACAACAACAATCAACATCTTAGCTGCTCGTCGTCTTGATCGTAGTTGATGCGATACCTTATCCTGCATACCCTGCATACCCTCTGAAATCATCAATTATAGGGATTATAATAACACAATATCTTATCCTGTTTAACCTCTGATATAATCAATTATAGGGATTATAATAACACAATACCTTATCCCGTATACCCTCTGATATAATCAAATGTCGTCAAAATAATAACGTAGCACCTTATCCTGTATACCCTCTGAAATAATCAAATGTCGTCATAATAATAACGCAGCACCTTATCCTGTATAGCCCCTAAAATAATCAAGTGTAGGGTTTATAATAACACGGCACCTTATCCTGCATATCCTCTGAAATAATCAAATAATCTAGATTCTGAAAACACAGAAACAATCAAACGCATACGGCCGGACCCTGGATCCATTCACTTGATTTGATGTGTTTATTTCTTACAATGTCTGTGTATCTCTTCCTGTCCGCGGGTTTGTCTTATCGATTTTGTTTTTCGTGCATCGCCTGCACTTACTATTAAGGGCCATTTGTGTCCGGCGAATAAGTAATCATACGAGACAAACTATGTCTGTTCTTTAAGACTTCCGGAGAAATGTTTATACCCGGGTGTCGAGTGGATGTTAAACCCCATCTCTCTCTCTCTCTCTCTCTCTCTCTCTCTCTCTCTCTCTCTTGTCTGATCGATCTTGTTTTGCGTGTATCGCGGTTCGCCTGTACTTATTATTAAGGGTACTTGTGTCCGAAGAATAGGTACGGATATGCGACAAATAGTGTCTGTTCTTCAAGAGGGGATCACGTGGCTAAGTGTGTAAGGCGCTAGCTCGCTAGCCTGGAGGTCGGGTGTTCAATCCCTGCATTGGCCGAGAAAGTTCATCCGGATTTTCCGGCGTGGTTCTCCCTTGTCAGTGATGCAGGACGGAGGGGCTGAGAAGGAAAGCTGTCTAGTCGTTCGGATGAGACGAAAAACCGAGGTCCCGTGTACACATTGGCGTGCACGTAAAAGATCCCTTGGCAGTTGGAATTCGATATAAGAGTAGACCGTAGTGCCGCTGTCCGGGCCCGTCTTCATTAGCCCAGGTTAGGAGCAGAACAGTAGGACGTTAAACTCCATTTCATTTCATTTCATTTGTTCTTCAAGACTTCCGAGAAATATTTATACCCGGGGTTATTATCCATAATTATACTAATTATATTAATTAACCATCCGACAAAATGAAATGAAATGAAATGTGGTTTAACGTCCTACTGTTCTGCTCCTAACCTGGTCTAATGACGGGCATACGCCATACAGTGTGCTATGAGGGAAATTTTGCCCGGGCAGCGGCACTACCGCCTACTCTTATATCGAATTCCAACTGCCAAGGGATCTTTTACGTGCACGGCAATGTGTACACGGGACCTCGGTGTTTCGTCCCATCCGAACGACTAGACAGCTGTCCTTGTCAGGCCCTCCATCCTGCATCACTGACAAGGGGAAACCGCGCCGGAAAATCTGAATGAACTTTCTCGGCCAATGCAGGGATCGAACAACCGATCTCCAGGCTAGCGAATCCATCTGACACTCTATAATATTTTAACGACATGTGTTATAAAGACACGTGTTTAGACGTGAGATTGAGTTGGGCTGACAAGGCGGAAGTTTTGCATTATCCCGGAAACAAGGTCCTGTTGGTCTGACAAAGATTTGTACGTTCTTCAGGAAATGAGTTTCCACAGGACGAACTAAATGTCGTAAAACTCATCCTTGTTAAAGATATTTTTTAATACGGATGTTTTACTGTGTTTCTGAACAGCATGTTGTGTAGGATTTCTAGTTCTGTGCATGTAATATTTACAAATAAATGAAATGGGGTTTAACGTCCTACTGTTGTTCTGCACCGACTGGGTTAAAGGACAATATTGGTGCCAGTCATGATCACATATGTGATAGAACTGGTTAAACACGTTCCAAATATTATTTTATCACAGAGATCATTGCTACGATAGATGCGTAATCAATGCTTGAACATTCGGAAGTGACGAACGCAAAAGGAAAACACGAGTTATCCCTCTATATAACTGGCTGAAGTGACGAATGATAACAGATATATGGGCGAATTACTGCTCACTAATAATTCTTTCGAAGACCGAAAATTCAGGAGCTATATTTACAGTTCGTATGGGCCGAAAAAGGGGTCTCGTGTGCACGTGAAGGAACCCTTGACAGATGGAATTCTTCGATATAAGGGTAGGTCCGAGTGCCGTTGTCCGGCAAATTCTCCCGCATAACACACGGTATGATGTATGCCCAGCCGGTGCAGCAGACTAGGACGTTAAACCCTATTTTATTTCTGATTGATTACCTGTCAGTGCTTTGCCCTTTTTAATACTGGACCACAAACAGGAAGCTATAGAGAAATAGGCAAACGTCATCACTATCACTGGAATCACATAAAACACTACTAAATGGATTATTTCCTTGTATAACGTCGTCTGTTCGTATCCAGAAGGTCGACACGTCGTTAATAATACAGTCAAATTATCCGGAACCATTGCGTCGGGTACGGTGGAGAAGATAATGAGGGATGGTACGGAAAACACATTTGCTGCTACCCATATAACGATGAGAGTTATTATCACGTGACGTCGAGTTTCTTTAAAGGATAATGGATGACAAATGGCGAACCATCTCTCTATTGATATCGCTGTTAATGTTAATACAGATACTATCACCGATATATTCTGAAAAATATTAAAGCAATAAAATATATAACAATAAGTTTTCATACAGGAGATGTTTTAAATAAAATGGATTGAAATCAAATGGGGGTTTTAACGTTATACTTTTCTGCACCGAGTCTAAGGAAGGCGGACATACGCCATGTGTACCCGACGGAAATTTGCGCGTATGACCCCCCCCCCCCCCCCACTAGCACGTGAATTTTAGATTATAAAGTCTGCCATTCAGTCAGCTACGGGACAAAGAGTTGGGTACCTGTTTAACATCGTGCCCCCCCCCCCCCCCTCCTTCTATCTCTCTCTCTCTCTCTCTTGATCGACAACTTATCCCTGGAATACTGCCAGACTGCATTTCCGGTAATTTATTTTTCAAACAGCTTGTGACTCGCACCTTTGGTCCTCTCGAGGGGGCTTCAAACCCCTCAACCGTAGGCTTTGACCCAGCTTTGCCCCTTTATCCACCGGGGATCGACGCTGCCACTGTAACCGAGTTAATAGGCCGGTTATAATGCTACGATGATATGTAAGTCGGATAGTTACATGCTTATTAGTATTCTACTTTCGGTTTGTGTATCGCAAGATTTCCATGGTGAACCTGAAACATTCCACATGTCGTTCAACCCAACGAAAGAAAATTTGTGAAATAGGTAGATACAGACAAGAACGAATTAACAGTAAAGTCAATGGGGAAATCAGTTGTTATCTATGACCAAATATGTAACAGTCTCGATCATTAAAGTCGATTTGGGAAATCTATGGTGATCCGTAGCCTATACGACGTCTAGTCGCGATCATTCCGGCCAATATTGTTTCGTGTTCGACCACAACGGATATTAGTTGGTGACTATGTTTGTTTCTAAGTAAAAATTGTTAAATTGCTTCGAGATCATAATTTAACTATTCCGGATCTTACTGCAATTACAGACGTTAAACATAAATATTTAATAACCATTGATGAAAACTCCACAAATTTCCTTTCCAAAATAACTCCTGGCATCTTCAGACGACGGTAACATTTCCGTTCATCAATTATGTATGGCGGATGATATTCCTGATGTCCGTGGGCAACAATAATAAAGTACATAAAAATCACTTCTCACTTTAAGTACAACTATTATATACACATTTGTCATGTACAAAAGTACTCATTGCTTTACTTTAGTCATGACAGGTGCCATGGACGCTACTTGAGTTTTGGTTAAAGCCAGACACGACAACCTCGGACAGTATGAAAGAGAGGGAGAGAGAGAGAGAGAGAGAGATGAAATGTAATGGGGTTTAACGTCCTACTGTTTTGCTCCGACTGGGCTAATGAAGACGGGTATACGCCATACAGTGTGCTTTGAGGGACATTTTGCCCGGGCAGCAGAACTATGGCCTACTCTAACATCGAAGTCCAACTGCCAGGGGATTTTTTTACGATACACGGGTCCTCGGTTTATCGTCAAATTGGAAAATCCCGATGAACTTTCTCGGTCAATGCAGGGATCGCACACGTGACCCCCAGGCTAGCGAATCAGCGTTTTACCCACTTAGCCATCGTGACCCCCAAAAGAGAGAGAGAGAGAGAGAGAGAGAGAGAGAGAGAGAGATGATAAATCTTGTTTCATAATTTACTTGCTCGTGGGGGTCTTCTACCGTCAGAAGAAAAAGCAGGACGCGGTAAAACCCCTCGAGATTGGACAGGCGAACCGCGTGCAAAGTGGGAAATAAAAATCACGCCATTTGACAAAGCGTATGATCTAATGCGCATGCGTTAAACCATTCGGCCATCCCCGATAAGATATTAAACCAAAGAAATATAAATCATGTTTGTGTTGAATGACCGATAACATTAAACGACATTCTCCGACTTCTTAAGAGTTTTATGTCTCAAGGACAAGACTTAGACTCTGTATTTTCTCAAAATTTTACTCGCTTCCGTTACGTAATAGATCTACATGTTGCCAAAACACTGATAAGGTTGGATCTATTGTGATTTGTATTAATAACATGTTGTGAAGGAAATGCTTCAACTCGTAAAGAGCTATTTATCTAAATAGTGTCTATTTTCGAACTCATGACATTTCCTGTCAAAAAAAAGAAGAATAAAAACCAGAAGATATTATTTATCTGGTGAAATTATCTTTTATTTCCAGCCAAATGGGGGGGGGGGGTGGCAGAATGGTTAGCACGTGCGCGCTGTATCATAAGGCCTGTCATTGAGTCAAATGGAATGGTTTCGATTCCCCGGTCGTACGTGGTGACAAGGAGTAGGGTCCTCCTGTTTCCTTCCACTACTAAAGACCCCTACGCGCAAGCGAATTATTGAAATAAATTTCAACCATGTGTTAGTCCCGAAATGACCTAGTTTGTGTCGAGTGGACGTTAAACTACATCTCTCTCTCTCTCCAGCCATATTCGTTTGGTGTTGTTTTAGAAAAAGGAAGAAACTCCCCCATAGACAATTATTATTTTGGTAAAAAAAAAAAAAAATAGATACCAGCGGTTGTTGAAGATGCATTATGTAAGATTTAGAAAAGGAGTTGCTCTAACAGTTTTAAATTAGATAATGAGATATGAATATATTGAAAGTTTCATTTAAAGTTATCAGTCTTCGAAATATAGTCTGGATTGTTAAGTGCCATTTTTGCGACGATAAACAAAGTCTCGATTATCCATTTTTGAATTAAATTATTAAATGGCGGCCGTGTTTTAATCCACTGAAAACCGCTACCATCCAATGTTTTAGAGAGTTGATTATGGATTTGCATGTTAATAAATATCCGAATAATCATTTTATAAATCGATAATGGTAAATCTCTTTGATCTGTTAGGTATATTCTATGCCCGGAATAACTTGCGGTCTGACAGTGGGGCGGCTTTGGACATACATATACAGGGGAATGTGGAGTTATTCTTCTGAAAGTTTTTCTGTAACGGGTTATTCTTCCAGGGTAGGTTTTTTCCATGAGATATAAGGGTTTTCTTACTGGAATTCTTGGATATTCTCATTTTACGTACATATAAACATAGACGGTTTATAAGCAAGATAAAGTCCTCGACTCCGGTTCTGCTGCGGAAGACAGACTTCAGAAAAAAAAAAACTCGATTTTTCTTTTTCTCGCGTTATTTTCGTCAGTCTTTCTTTCCCCAGCATAACCAAAGTCGAATGCTTTATCTTATAAATTTAACATTTGAAGCGAACAGAAAGACCTGCACGAGACAGATTTAGCCCCGGAAATAATGTATCTTTAAAAATCCTACGTGACAATAACTAATGATCCTATTTTTGTTCGGAATAGATCTATAACTTTTTTTAAGAGCTAGAAATATCTAATTACTTCGGTAAAAAAATGAAACAAATTCATTGTTAAATTCTGAATGTATTCTAATATTATTAGTTTTTTAAAAAGTATTTCAGCTCTACATAAAGCAATAAACTTTATAAGAAAAATCAAATTTTTTTCTTTTTGTTTTCAGCTTTTGCTATTTAAATCTGTAAAACGTTTTCAAATGCAACACATTCATTGCTAAATCCAGAATGGTTTTAGTGTTGTTAGTTATTCTAAACTGTTTCAGTGGCATTTAGTATTTAGTTATTCTAGTCGATCGGATGGGATGAAAAAAACGAGGTCCTATGTACACATTGGCGTGCACTTAAAAGAAACAATTTACGTCAAAATGCTTTTTTATTATAAATAAAAAAACTATATGCAATTTCTTATCAAATAATAGTTTATGCTTTTAAGATGTATTATTTAAGAGTTAAATCCTTCCATTGCAAGTCTTTTTTCTAGCTTTAATAAATGTTATATAAATCATTATTTACATGACAAGCCCATAATCATCTCGGGGGGTTGGGTGGCCGAGTGGTAAGCACGTGCGCGCTGTATCATAAGGTCTGTCATTGAGTCAACTGGCGTGATTTCGATTCCCCGGTTGTATGTGAGAAGAAGTAGGGTCGCCCGTCCAACCTCCCACTGCTAAAGACCCCTATTGAAATAAAACTGAACCATATGTTAGTCCCGAAATGACCTAGTTTGTGTCGAGTGGACGTTAAACTCTCTCTCTCTCTTTCTCTCGATAATCAACTCTCAAGATCCTCGGGTGACTGAGATAAACTGGATAACAGAGACTTTGTTTATTAACGTAACAATGGTTGGTACTGGACAATCTACACTATTCAGACCACATCTTTTCAAAACATCACACATTCATAATTTCCCGTCAAATTAAAGAGTAATTTGACTGAAATTTCTATATATTCCCTTGTATATATCATCTATTTTTGAACTCGTATAGCAAGAACGACCAGCTCTATATCAACATTTTAATTATAAACTACATCTTTAACAATAGAACAATAGAAATAACTATTAAGTAGATGTATTTCTTTGATAGCAATTTTCTAATAAACACGGGCAGAATGAATGACTTTGTAATTACTTGGATAATTCATTCTTTGAAATCGTTTCCTTTGTACAACACCCACATAACGTATTTAACAGAAGCTAAATAAATGATAAAAAAAACATTTGATGATATAATCACTAGGGGCTATTTGATGTGCACATCGTCCCATATCGTGCTTTTCTATCTATTATATAAAAGAGGCGCATTAACTAATGATCTCGGATGACTAATTAATTACACACCGTGGTTTTATGATCTGTTATACTAGTCCTTTCTATTAACGTATTAAACAATAAAGATAGTTTTACAAACCATTATAGGCTACAGACTATATTATCTGATACTACAATGTATTCTATTTATTCTCTTTAATAACCCCAAAAGACACGATAAAACTCATAACATCACTACCTAAATCCATATCATCACTTCAGATTGTAAAATCCATACCACACATTATGAGAGAGAGAGAGAGAGAGGAGGGGGTGGAGAGAGAGAGAGAGCAGCACGATGTTAGGCAGGCACCCAACGCCTTGTAACGTACTATACTGAATGGCAGACTGACTTTATAATCTAACGTCCACGTGCTAGACCAGTCCATCCTCTTTCCGTCCTCCTCCCAGTTGTACAGGGCACCCTAAAAGTGAAGGGTGGCTGTTGTAGTAAAGTCCCCTCCCCCTAATAGTGAAGAGTACATGACGTAGTAATACTCATTACTTCACTTATCTGGTATAAACAATTAATACCAATTGTTATAAATGGTGAAACCTTATCGACAACGATATAAGTATAATCCTTGAGTGTTATTTAGTATCAAAACCATTTATATATGAAATACAATGGTTAATGATACAGATGGTATTTGTATTTAATCATATAAGTGACTGTATATTTATTAATCGTCGTAATTATTTACTGAAAATAATAATATAAAATTCTATAATTTTATTGTCAGTAGCATGCAGATGTTTTGTGAAGCCCCTGGGCCAACTCCTTATGATCCTAAGATTCAAATACAGGTCCCATAACAGTGAGATAGGAAGACATTTTGAAACTAAAAAACAGATGCAATAAACTTTCTATTCAAATTAATTAGGAAAATGTGTATAGGGAAGTTTTAGATTTTATTTTCATTATTCGATTGGATACGCTCTTGAAATGGGTTTTAGGGCCATCGCCCACTCTGCTACCCCTTCCCCTACCCCCACTTCGCCCCACCCCCTACACTCAACTATTGAGAGTATCACGACATATCATTAAATAATCTTTCCTTGTCAACCGATTGTATGATGACATTTACAAAATCTCTCCTTTCAACTGGACATTGTTTATGATAAATTGATAAATACAAGCTTAACATTGGCCATTTTATATATCAATGGATAAAACGCACTGACAGATATTGATGGATGTTGCCGGGTCATTTCTGTTAAAGTGATCAAATATGTCAGAATATTTTAATAGTTCTGTCACCATTTAATGATAGAGTAGGCACCATGTTGAAATGTTGATTACTATACGTGTCTATTAATAATTATCAATGGTAAACAGAAACCGTTGACTATTGAAGCTAGGCATGTTAGTAATGATAAAAACTGTCATTACTAAAACACCTAGCTTCATTAGTCTGTGGTCAGATTTCTAAACTAATGTTTAGTATGTATAGAAAGTGGTTAGAAATTATACAGTTGTCATTAATTAGCAGGTGTGCAAGTAGCTGTAAAATATGTCACTACCGGTGTAAAAGCGTGACTATTTATAACACCCATCACTATTGAATACACAAACCTGGACAATGGTGGTGTATATCATTCAATAGTTACAGTTTTAACACCTTAGTGACAAAACACCTACTTAATGACTACTGCCTGATTACTAACAATTTTAACTAACTAATACACATTATGTATATAAATTGACGACTTTGATCTATTAGTGTCGTATATTTTCATTTATAACAGTTATTTGTTGCTTAGTCAACGTTACAGTGTATATCATTGCTATGCCACTGTTACCATATTTAACAATAAGTCTCGATTATTCATTTTTAAATTAAATCATTAAATGACGATCGCGTTTCAATTCGTTCAAAATCAAAACCACTCGATGACCTAGAGAGAGTCGATTATGGGCTTTCCATGCAATAAAGGTCTAAGGGAGAGAGAGAGAGAGAGAGAGAGAGAGAGAGAGAGAGAGAGAAATGGGTTTAACGTGTACTCGACACAAACTAGGTCATTTCGGGACTAACACATGGTTCGATTTTATTTCAATAATTCACTTGCGCGTAGGGGTCTTTATCAGTGGGAGGAAACCGGGGGACCCGGCGGAAGCCCACGAGGTTGGACGTACAACCGGGGAATCAAAACCACGCCAGTTGACTCAATGACAGACCTTATGATACAATGCGCACGTTCTAACCATTCCATTCGGCCATCCAACCCCCCTAAAGGTCTAAGAAATAATTTATATACTCTTAAAAAAAAGTAGGGGATATTGAAATGCAAATACCTATGCAGGTTGTGATATGATAAATAGTCATGAACACTTGACATGCTTTGAGAGTATGTTCACAGATGAAGAACTTATCGCCCCAACAGAACCACTGAGCTGCATATGTGCGACACGCAATAGCGCCATACACGTGGGAGGGGTTCATTGTCAAATTTGACACTTCAAGGAAGGGTTGAGGAAAACTGCCGCTTGCTGGTTTATTCTATCCATGTTTGCTTTCCTATCGGTTCTTGCATACGATTTATTGTTTAGTGTATCTTTGCTTTAGGAGTCAGATTGCCCCAAATCGTGATTGGACGGTTGATTAGGAGCATGCCACGACGAATTGCTGAATGTCTGAGGATTGCTGGAGCAATTACTCATTATTAAGACAAAAATCAAAAACGTCCATTTTCACTTTTGACAGTGTATCTCTTTGCGAGTGAAATGGGGCCGTCGGATAAGCCGACCATATGAACTGTTTATGTTCATGTGTAGGCAATTGGCCTGTTATTAACATACACTGGTTACTTCTAATAAAAACAGCAGTGCATTTCCGCAGTTTTGTATTGTTTCTGAATATTCCCTACATTTTTTGAAGAGTATATAACATTTGGAGGAAAAATGAAAGACCCGAAATAGGCAGATTTAGCTCTGACATAATGCATTCTTTAAAGCAGTGGTTTTAATCTAAAAGTATCATAAGTCCTCAGTTTATTGCATCTAGTTCAGAAGATATAGAATCGTTATGACGTATGGGGCTGGCTCTTGATAAAGGATTTCCAGGTTTGGGGGTGATGGCGGAGCGGGAATAAAATCTGAATAATATTACCAGACTGTGAAACAAAGATGGCTGGCTTCTGATATTATATTTAGAGTTGTGTTGTAATATTGGGAGCGATGATTGGAAAAATAAATCTGAATCTCTTTACCTGAAGGAATTCAACAATTTTACACATGGCGTCTCCTAGAAACCATGTTTCCCAAAATGTCTGAGCAAACGTTGGCGGCAAACAAATAACTATGACCAAAAGATCAGCGACTGCCAGATTAACGAGAAAAAAGTTGGTTATCGTTCTTAGTTGAACATTTCTCCAGACGGCAAAACACACGAGAGAATTCCCAGTTACACCGAATATAAACACGATAATAAACAAGACACAGAAAATCCATTCGTGTGGTTCCGGTTCAAGATGTTTGTTAATACTCCACATCAGATGTTCGTCGGAATAATAACATTGTTCACCTTCAGCGTATTTACACTTTCGTATTTCTGTTAAATTGGTCAGTGTTGATGAGTTGCCTGAACTGTTGATGACACTGTACGCCGCCATTTTGGTTGTTGTTTTCCCGCCCTTTTTATACTAACCAACTACCATAATCTGAAATGAAACGAAAATGAAATGAAATGGGGTTTAACATCCTACTATTCTGCAACCACTGGTATAATGAAGACGGACATACGCCATACAGTGTGATACTGGTCAGGATATATATGTTCGTCCATCATGTTTTCCAGGACTGTCATATAATAAAGATTGGTGCGTTAAATTCATTTGTAAAATTTTACATTGTGATGACATTTAACTGTAAATTTCAGCAAATGTTTATACAACCACGAGAAGCGAGGCATGATTTATTTTTTTACAATTTCTTACACATATCTGAAGTTAGTTGCGGATGGGCGGTAGTAGCCAATTTCATTGATTGCAACATGTTCTTGTCTTCGTTTGTATATAATTTTACAGATATATAAAGTTGACTTTAAAGGGACTACCCCGATTAGAACAGAGTCTCAAAAATTAAAGTCCGAGTACATATGACATTTAAGCACCAAAATATATAGGAATGGTGTATTGACCTTGTCTCAAAATGTCATCTCAAAATATTGAGTCGTTTGGACGTGAAGGTCAAAACTGCTTATCCGGACACGTAACCCTTTTAAGGTTTCAGGTCAATTTTTTCGTTGGGTGACCTTATAATCGATTCCCGTTTCTTGAGAGGTCTATACAGTGAACGACCCATGTCCTGTACTTGATAAAGAACGGTAAATTTCACCTACACATTATTTTTATGAAAAAAGGTCTGGTTTTATCCAGACACCGTTATAATACAGTTTGGGACACCGGTCTCCATTTCCAGATGAAGACAGGCGGGTTTAAGTTGTTTGCAAACGTATCACAAATATTGAGTTACTTGCTCGGCCATTAGGTAGAGGGTGTTAAGACATTGTAACACAAAATTAAGCAGTTTTTTCTCCCAAAAATTATCGGGATTGGCCCTTTAAGCAGTACATGTTATTCCATAAGTTAGAAATTCACGCTTTTGGGCTGATGTGTTTGGGTATTCCATTATTTAAGAGCGCAATTAAATATTTCACACAGCCAAGGATATGTAAAAAAACGTCTTTGAATACCGATTTAAGGTAATACACTTAGTTAAACTGGAAACAAAAAGTATTTTTACTTAAACCATCGAATACGGCTCAGATATTAAAGAAACATTATGGGAGATTAGGTAAAGAGCTGGCAGTTCTTATTATGATAGTTAAAAACTAGTTAATGTAAAGGGAATTGGCTGAAAATTTCAGTCAAATTGATCCACTCAAATTGGAAATTAAAGGACAATATTGGTGTCAGTCATAATTACATATGTGATAGAACTGGTTAAATACATTCCAAATATAATTTTAACACACAGATTATTGCTACGGGAGATGTGTAACAAGCACGTGAAGAAACGGGAAGTGACGCCAAACATGACAAACACGAGTTATCCTTCTATATATCTGACTGAAGTAACGAGCGATAACAGACAAACGATCAAATTTCATTTCACTGATAATTCCGTTGAAGTTGAAAAGTTATTATATGGAACGGTGAGAGGGTGTCTCACAATTCAAAAATAGAATTAGCCTCGTTCATCGAGTCGCTTCATACAAATGGCGCTCGAAAGCATTCTAGCACGGGATTCGCGTGCCAATTTTAAATATTGGATATCAGAAGCCCATCGGTAAGATTACATCTATGTTGATTTAAATTGACCAATAAGGCGTGTTTGCAATATCGAAGACTGTGGGCGATATTAAACCCACATCATCGTGGTCCTAAGAGAGACAGAGATAGAAATGGGGTTTAACGTCCAATCGACACAAACTAGGTCATTTCGGGACTATCATATGGTTTTTAATTTATTTCAATAATTCGCTTGCGCATAGAGGTCTTTAGCAGTGGGAGGAAACCGGAGGACCCGAAAAAAAAACCCACGAGGCTGGACAGGCGACCCAACTCCTTGTCAACCGGGGATTCGAAACCACGCCAGTCGATTCAATGACAGACTTTATGATACAGCGCGCGAACACTAACCATTAAGCCATCCAACCCCCATCATTGTGGCCTTAACACGACAGGGATAAATTCCATATTGTCTTAAATAACAAATATTTCAAATGCTAAAAACTGACATTTTCCGAGAAGACACCCAAGAGTGCTAGACGCTCTAAATATAAATTACGTGATTTATAATATAGGTGTCAGTTTGAGCACTTAGCAAATTAGAATTTCCAATCGTAAAAGCAGATTGGTCAGGAGTTAATGTTATATAATAACCATTTTGCATTTTAGAATTTGTGATACGATTTGTAATTTGTGGTACGATGTGTAATGTTCTATGAGTAAATATCTTCGGAATGCAAACAGAACAATAAATTAAAGATTAATGAAATATTAACGTGTGGAATCAATAAATCAACAGTAAGAGAGAGAGAGACCGAGAGATGTTTTACGAGTTTTATCTTTAGCAGTTCGGGGGGTCACGGTGGCTGAATGGGTAAGACGCTGGCTCGCTAACCTGGAGGTCGGGTGTTCGATCCCTGTTGTTCAGGTGGAATACAATCAAGAAATTTACCCCGGGCTTAGACCCCTGCGTATCGATCTGGAATATGGCGTCATATTTCCAAGATGGCTTGTTTTTTTCCTGGTCCATATAGCCCAACTGCTGATCAGGTGGAACAATGTATAACATTATCTAATGTCAATGTCACATGGATTTCTCAGCGCCAGTCACAATTTATTTAAAGCATGAGTGATGGACCGGAAGTCGAATACAGGGCAGGTAATTTACATCTAGCCACCATGAAGTTTAATTCCAAAATAATATCGAAATAAAAACGTAATAAAAATGACGTGCGTGTTTTTATTGTTTTGTTTTTGTAGCTAGTCTAATAGATTCTCTTCAATTTAGTTTATGTTATTGTTCCATACTAATTGGAAACTGGGATTGACTGCAATGAGATTATTACATGTTCATCTCAATAGAACTCCAGGCTATACACAATACAAATACGTATGCAGCGTGTATCTTGAAATTAATGAATCTAAAGTTATTGTCAGTACCTATCTGATGAGAATCTCATATCTATTCATGGACATGGGTGTTAAAGTGGTGCTCACCCTTGGTCACTTGTGTCATTTGGCGTGATTAAGTATTACAACTGGGAATCTGGTTTACAACAGAAAAAGTCCATTAAGATTTTTCGGCGTGGTCCCCTCTTGACAGTTTGTATTACAAGGACAGGTTTGTGTTGTCAAGACATTAAACGGAATACTCTACAGAAAGTCTTGATTTCTTAAAGATGCGATGCATTATTCAAGACCTACATCTGCCTAATGCAGATCTTTCATTAGGCCTCAAATGTTCTATAAATCATGAAACATACATTATGCAAGAGCTAACTCTGCCTATTGCAGGTCTTTCTTTAGACTTGAAATGTTATCTAAATTATTAATTAGACATTAATTAACACGAAAAGGCCTTAATCTACTCGCTATGTCATCGTATATGTCGTATTTTCACTGGATTTGAATCCGATCTGCTGCTCAACGCTCAATTATGATTAAATCCTGAAAATGGATAATTGGGATTCTATTTTTTATCGTAACGACTTTAGTAATGATGATCGAGGCTAGGCCAAAATTCAATCGCAAATATTTCGGTTAAGCGTGGATCAATTTGATTGAAAATTTGCAGCATATTCCCTTTACATTATCTAGTTTTTAACTATTATTACATCTCTTTATCTAATCTACCATAAATGCCCCTTTAATTAGAGAGAGAGAGAGAGAAATGGGGTTTAACGTCCACTCGACACAAACTAGGTCATTTCGGGACTAACATATGGTTTAATTTTATTTCATTAATTCGCTTGCGCGTAGGGTCCTTTAGCAGTGGGAGGAAACCGGAGGACCCGGAGAAAACACAAGAGGAAACCGGAGGACCCGGAGAAAACCCACGAGATTGGACAGGCGACCCTACTCCTTGTCACGTACAACTGGGGATTCGAAACCACGCCAGTTGACTCAATGACAGGCCTTATGATACAGCGCGCACGTGCTAACCATTCGGCCATCCACCCCCCCCCCTTTAATTAGACATGACAAACCTATAATCAACTCTCTAAAACATCAGATAGCGCAAATGTCAACAGAATAAAATATGATTGCCATCTAATGATTTAATTTAAAACTAGAGACGCGAGGCTGAGTTTTGATTAACAAGTAACGTTAATAAGTAATCTGTGTCAAAACTTCAAACGGTGATAAATGCGCTCAGAATAAAGTAATTTGATTGGAATTTTCAATAACTTTGAACTATCTAGTTTGGAACTATTATAGCAAGAACTGTCAGCTCTTTATCTAAATCTTACATAATGTATCTTTAAACTATTATAGCAAGAACTGTCAGCTCTTTATCTAAATCTTACATAATGTATCTTTAAGGTTTTAAGTTCTCATTGGCAAACAGACACCCTTTGTGCCAAAACATCAGACGCTTCCGTTACTTTATAGATTTCGTTTATAACGATATGTGTCTGTAGTCTGCTGTAATTGATACCCATAAAATAGAAATATCAGATTATTTTATGTTTCTTGTATTAAAAAAAGATAGGGAATCAGGATGAAAAGCTGGAATGTTTCATTATTTGTATTTATTGGCGTTTATGTGATAATATTAACCTTCATTTCAAGCCATATTGCGTTGACAAACTTGGACAGCGTTGCCTATAGTCGTTAGGATGGAATGAAAACCTTGTGCACATTGGCGTGCACGTAAAAGATCCCTTGATAGTTGAAATTCAATATAATAGTAGACCGTAATGCTGCCGCTTGGGCAAAAATGTGTACACGGGAACTCGGTTTTTCGTCCCATCCGGACGACGAGACAGCTGTCCTTGTTGGGCCGCCATCCTGCACCACTGGCGGAGTGAAACCACGCCGGAAAATACCGATGAACTTTCTCGGCCAACACCGAGTGCGAACCAACGACATTCACAGAACAATAGGACGTTAAACCCCATTTCATTTACAAAAAGTACAACAAACCT